CTGTTTAAATTTTCTGTGTTGTCCTGATTCAATTTGGGTAGGTCATATGTCTATATATATTTGTTGATGTCTTCAAGTCCAAGATTTTCTTTCTTTCTTTTTTGGAGTATACATTTCAAAATGTCTCTGAAATTGAAGATGGAAAGATCTTCCATGCTCCTGGATAGGCAGAATTAATATTGTCAAAATGGCAATACTACCAAAAGCACTATACAGATTTAATGCCATTCCTATTACAATTCCAATGACATTCTTCAGAGAAAGAAAAAACAGTCATGAAATTCATTTGAAAAAAATAAGATAGTCAAAGCAATCCTTAGCAAGAAAAGTGAAGCAAGAGTCATCACAATACCAGACCTTAAATTATACAATGGAGCTATAGTAACAAAATAGCACATTATTGGCATAAAAATAGACATGAAGACCAATGGAACATAATAGAAGACACAGAGACAAACCTACATATATAAAGTTGTCTCATACTAGACAAAGGTGCCATAAACATACACTGGAGAAAAGATAGCCTCTTCAGAAATCTGGGGAAACTTGAAATCCATATGTAGCAGAATGAAATTGAACCCTATCTCACACCCTGCTCAAAACTCAACTCAAAGTGAATCAAGGACCTAGGCATTAGGTCAGAGACCCTGTGCCTCATGCAAGGAAATGCAAGCCCAACTCCATATTATGCTAGCTTAGGAACCAGCTTCCCCAACAAGACTCCTAAAGTGCAAGATGTAAAATCAATAACCAATAAATGGGATGGTATAAAACTAAAATGTTATTCAAGCAAAGGAAACAAGAATGTGAAGAGAGAGATTACAGAACAGTAGAAAATCTTTGCCACCTGTACCTCAGAGCATTAATCTCCATGATATATAAAGAACTAAAAAACTTAACACCAAAAAACAAATAACCCATTCAATAAATGAGCAAAGGAACTAAACAGATACTTCATAGAAGAAGAAATGGTCAATAAATATATAAAAAATTGATCAACATCTCTAGCAATTAGAGAAATACAAATTAAAACTACACTGAGACTTTATCTCACTCCAGCCAGAATGGCAGTTATCAAGAATACAAGCAATAACAAATATTGCCGAGGATGTGGGGAAAAGAATACACTGATATATTGCTGGTGGGACTGTAAATTTGTTCTGTCACTCTGGAATGCAGTATGGAGATTCCTCAAAAAACTAGGAATGGAACCTCCATTTGACCCAGTTATCCCACTCCTAGGTATATACCCAAAGGACTTAAAATTAGCATACGACAGTGATGCAGCCACATCAACATTTATAGCAACTCAACTCACAATAGCCAAGCTATGGAACCAACTCAGGTGTCCTTCAACAGATGAACAGATAAATAAAATGTTATACACACACACACACACACACAGGAATATTCCTCACCCATAAAATATGACTTTGTGACTTTTGCCAGTAAATGAATGGATTGGGAGCCTACCATGCTAAGTGAAATAAGCCGATCCCAAAAAACCAAAGGTCAGATGTTCTGTCTGATATGTTATGTCTATAACAAAGGGTGGGAGAGATAGAAATTCATTGGATTAGACAAAGGGGAGTGAAGGAAAGGGGAGGGGGAAAGAATAGGAAAGGTAGTGGAATGTACCAGACATAATTTTCCTGGGCACATATATGAATTCACCACAGTGAATCTCCACATCCTGTACAGCCACAAGAATGGGATCCTAATTAGAAGAAGAGGCTGCTCCATGTATATTTTATATGTCAAAATATACTTTTGTCATGTATATCTACAAGAAAAACAGCTCCTCCCTTTGCACAGCGCCTGGATGCGTGTCTTTCAGCAAATGCAAGTTTCAAGTGGAACATCTCAGAGTGTAGGTGGCTCTGGGTGTAGTAGGAAGTTGGTGCAGAGAAGTATGTGGTATGTGAGGGGGGTGTGTGGTGTATGTGTGTAGATTTATTGTGGGTTGGGTGTATTGGTTGTGTGTGCTGTTTAAGTGCTTGCTGGGTGTGAGTCAAGGTGTGTTTGTGTTGGGCATATGCTAGGCATGTGTCCTGGACATCTTGTGTGTGTGATGAATGTTGTGTGTTATATGTCTACCTTATCTGTGTGTGACATGTGTGTCTGTGTTTGGTGTGTATTAGGTATGTGGTACATGTGTGTGTGCATACTTGTGTGTGTTAGGTCAGTGTCACGTATCTTCTGCATGTACATGTCAAACGCCTGTTTCTACAAAGTGCCAGACACTATATTAACCATGTCACATACTTTATCTCAACCACAAAGATGACCATATGGGTGAGGTGCTCTTGATGGCCCCCTTTGGTGATGAGGAAACTGAGGAACAGGGTTTAAATGATGAGCAGTGGTCACGCAGCTCACAAGGAACCTGGTCAGCTCAGGTCCATTCCAAACCCCTGGTCTCAGAGCCAGCAGTTCTCAGGCTAGTGTTTGCCCTGGAATCCCTGTGGACTTGTTAGAGCCCAGATCCCTGAGCCGGTCCCTGGTGACTTCTGATTCAGCAGGGCAGGAGGGGGACTCAAGATTTATCCTTTTTTAACCAAGGGATGCTGATGCTGTCATTCTGAGGACCACACCTGGAAACCACTGCTCTAGGCACTGTCTCAAGAGAGGGCTGGGGCCAAGGAAGCGCTGCTGGGGTGCTGAACACACAGAGCCCTGTGTGGGTCCCAGCAAAGCCAACGGCGAGTTCTGAAGTTGGTGTTTTATGTGGAAGCTCATCCTCCTCCCTGGGCGACGGGGGCTTGAATCTAGCAAATCACGTGTTATTGAAAAGGCAAAGGCAGCTTTCCTCTAAGGAACTGTATTATGACAAGTTGTGGAACTCTGTCCTGTTAGCAGTTCTGAACAACAGGGTGGGAAGTCGCGTTTTCTAAGGAGGGAACAACACACCGTTTGGTGTTGTCCAGGACTGGGCATCTTTTCTTCTGTATTTATTCCCCAGAACAGACTGACTCAGTCATTTTGCCTATATGTTCTGGAGCTGGAAGACCAAGGTCACTGGGCTCCCCAGTCTTACACTTCCATTGAGTGGCATCTGTGCCTGTGTGAATCTGAGTCAATACTGCCTGAGGCAGGATTTGAGGGCTGGGTGGAATGGCGTGTGGACATGCCCGGGTGCAGCGTGGCTGATGGAGGCCATCGGTGCCATGTGCTCTTCTTGCTCCCCTTCATTTCTTTTCGGTGTGTTCTCCCTACCAGGATCAGAGAACAGGACAGAGGCTGGGGTCACTGAACGCTGACAGCTAGAGGCAAGGAGTCAGCTCTTTGAGGACTGAGGCTGGCTGGCTGGGGGTGAGGAAATGGGGAGGAGTGCAGATGTGGTTCTTAATGCACTAATGAAATGAAGCGAAGTGGCTTCTATTTGCTGGCCGCTCCATCCGGCTTTCATTATGAATGCCTCAGGATTGAAATCCAGTGGTGTTGGTGACCTGGATTGGCCGCGGGCCTCAGGCAGGAGAGTGATTCTCCCACAGGTTTGCAGCACGTTTTATCCACCAGGACTTCAGGTCTGCCAGGTGGAAATCCCATGTTGCAGAATTTAGAGACGTGGCTCCCAGAAGCTGCTGCCTTTTCACTTGCTGAGCGGCAGCTCTGCACTATCAGAAGCAGGGCCGCGGAAGAACGTTGCCAGAGCTGAGAGCTGAGCTCGGGCTCAGTTCATCCCCCGTGCTGTTATTCTTGGGAAGCAGCCTCACTCGGTGCTGCTAAGTGCAGTGAGGCAGCTGTCAACCGCAGAGACGGGCTGACGCTTGGAGCATGTTGGGGCAGAAAGGAGAAGGGCTTGGAAGGAGACCCCACGACTCCACTTTCCACCCAGAAATTCTAAGGGTTCTCTTACATTGTCTCCTCCTCCCTCCCTCCCACTCCCCCTCTATCCCAGACGTCATGCAGCCAGAACAGCTGGGAGCCAGGTACATTGCCTGCTGTCCTACTGGGAATCCTACTGGGTGACTGGCATTGTCCCCATGGTGGTAAACTGAGGCTCAGGAAAGAGAAGAGAATGCAGCGGCTAGAACATTCTACAGTCGAAGAGTTGCTGCAAGTCAGAACCTTTTCTGATCATTTTATCTGCACAACGAGGCATGGATCTTCATCAGAAATTTCCTTTTGGAAAAAACTGGAAATCATATATCAAATACTGTATGCAGCACCAAGAATATAGGGGTGCTTAGTAAATTCAATTTCTTTTCCTGCCTTCAAATCCTTAGCTGATCTCATGTACTCAGAAAAACCCAGCCTGCCTGATCTCCTTCTGAGTTTTCTCTCATCCCAGACCCGGACTATTTTAATTTCACTCCCGCCTGTCTTGTCACTCAACTCTCTTGTCTTGGGCTGGAAAAATGAGCACCATGTGTAGCTGGGCTCAGCATCTGCCTGAACAGCAGCCACTGGCTCTCTTCCCGTGGTTGCTAGAACACACATTTTCCTTGCCACTCCCTCCACTGGGATTCACAATACGGTGTTATCAGTGGTTATTAATCATATTAATGGTAGCTAGTACACGTGGAGTCTGCGCTGGGTGTCGGGACTCTGCGGTGCGGTGCACAGCGTGGAGGGTTTACCTAATCTTCCCATCGTCCACCACTGCCGTGTACTAATATCGGTCCCCATGTTGCAGAAGTTCAGTGACTTGCTTAAGGTCACATGGCTAGAAAGCAGGGGAGTGGGGACTGGAGTCATGAAGGAGGGGCTTGCTGCCACTGTCCTGACAGGGAAGGGCAGTGGACCTGCCCAGCTTTGGGGTCAGCACACCTGAGTCTGAGTAGAAGCCCTTCCAGGTGTGAGCTTCATGACATTCTCCAAGTCACTGCAATTCTCTGTGCTGGCTCTTATAATAGGAGCCCCAAGTGGTGACACCGAGCAGAGACATGGAGCTCTCTCGGTCCACGACTCACATGTGACTTTCTTCTGGGGCTGCTGGGTTCTCCTTGTGGGACCAATGTCATCTCAAGCTATTAATTTCTCTCTTTGTTTTCCAGGTAATGAACCAAAAAGATCATGTCTGAAGTTCAAGGAACGGTTGAGTTTTCTGTAGAGCTACATAAATTCTATAATGTGGATCTCTTTCAGAGAGGGTGAGTATACTGCACAATCTGTGTGTGTGTGTGTGTGTGAGTGTGTGTGAGAGAGAATGTGTATGAGTGTGAGTGTGTGTGTGAAAGTATATGTGTGAGTGTGAGTGTGTGTGTGTGTGTGTGAATGTGTGTGTGAGTGTGTGTGTGTGTGTGTGCATCTTTTCTGAAAGGGGGTGGGGAGGGAAGGTTATATACTGGGAATTAATGAGGAAAGGATTTTCATTATTTTTTCCTGCAAATTGAAAAATTCAAACTTCTAGTTCATCTGAAAATAAATCATTTGCTGACCAATCCTAGAAAATGCTAATTTATCCTTCCCACACCCCTTTCTATCTTACTTATTTTCAATTCCTTTTTAGATATGTAAATTTTAAAGAAAAGTGAGTCTATGGGGAGTGAAACTTGTTTGTGTACCACTGATAAATGTGTTTGCTACTTGTTGGGCCATCTTTCCTGAGCTACATATTCTAAGATATTTCAAAAACTGATACTGTTTGTATGTAATAATGTCCCTTTAAGGATGTAACAAACATACAGTTGCTTTCATTTTGGGGGGACATGGTCTGACTATGACATTTTACATGTGAACCTACAAGGTCTTCATGATAGACTCCCTCTCAGGATCATGAAATGGTTACTATGTTGGTCAGCTTTTCACCACTGTGTCAAAATACCTGAGGAAAACAATTTAGAGAGAGGAAAGGTTTATGTTGGTCCCTGTTTTCTGTCCATGGTAAGCTGGTTTATTGCTGAGCCTGTGGGAGGCAGAGCACCATGGCAGAGAGGTCATGTAGAGTGTGGTTCCTCATGGCAGCCAGGAAGCAGAAGGAAGAAGGGCCTGGAGCCAAGATCTACCCTTCCAGAGCATGTTCCCAGGGGTCTACTCCTCCAACCACCCTACCTCCACAGTCTAACAGTCCATTCCCTTAGGGACCCATTGGAGGATTAGCCCACGGATGAGGTCAGAAGCCTCATGATCCAGTCACTTCCCCAAAGCTGCATCTCTGAACACTGTGGCCTTAGGGACAAAACCTGTAACACATGAACCTGGGTGTGTACTCCAGACCAAACCCTGACGTTGCAGAAGGCAGCTAACACAGACTGGAGCTGTGTGCATTCACAATGGCCACAGCTGATGTTCCCCACATTAGTGACAAAGAAATCAAAGTCTATACAACCCGAATTTGTTTGATGCTCATGTTAACAGCAGACGAGAGTTCAAAATGATGGGTATCTATCCATTTGCTTTTGCCCCATAAAAACCTCCCCTAAATGTAGGAGCCTGAAACAACAAGTCCATCTCCTGACTTTAAGGGTAAGCACTTTGGGCTGAGCTTGGGAAGGTGGTCTTGCTCAACTGGACCAGGCTTGGCATGTCTCAGCTGGGCTCCTGCAAGGTCTGGGGCTCTGGGCTGGGAGGCTGCTGGTTCTCCCCCTCCAGCAGGGCAGCCTGGCCTGGTTCCAAGAGCCAGAGCGGAGGCAACACAAACTCGTTTTTCTTTACTTTAAATATTCTTACACATCTATGGGGTGCAGTGTGCTATTTCAATGCGTGTGCATGGTGTGTGATGGGCAGGTCAGGGTGGCTGGGACGTCCCTCGCCTCAAGCACTTACCATTTCTTTATGTTGGGAATGTTCACAATCCTCTCCTCTGGTTATTGTGAAATACAGAATTGGTGGTTGTCAGTTAGCCCGCATTATTATCATGATCATCCAAATGTCGGAAGTCATTCCTCCAATCTAATTGTCCCCCTTATCGTCCGGCCACCTTCGCTCTCTTCCTTCCTCCCCACAACTCTTCCGAGGCTCTGACAACCATTAGTCTATTCTCTATTTCCCTGAGATCAACTCTTTAGCTTCCACACATACAGTGAGAGTATGTGGTAATTGTCTCTCTGTACCTGGTTTATTTTACTTATTATAAAGTCTTCAAGGCTCATGCACGCTCTCACCGATTGTGGGGTTTCATTATTCTCTACGGGCACATGGTATTTCTGTGTGTGTATGTATGTGTGTGTGTGTGTGTGTGTGTGTGTGTGTGACTATTTATCCAGTTTTTTCATCTATGGACATATGGACATCTAGGTTGATTCCATATGTTGGCTATTGTGAAGAGCGTCTCCTTGACATACTGATTTCCTTTCGCTACATACACAGTACTGGAATTGCTGGATATGGTAGTTGGTTCTATTTTAAGTTTTTTGAAGAACATCTTCAGTCTTCCTAATGGCCATCCTAATTTTTGGTACCACCAGCAATGCATGAGAGTTTCCCTTTGTATTAGCCATGTCTCATTGTTTTAATTGCATTTCCCTGATGATTAATGATGTTGAGCAGTTTTTCATATGCGTGTTGGACATTTGCATGTCTTCTTTTGAGAAATATTTATTTAGATCATTTGCCCATCCTGTTGATGCCTAGCCTTGGAATTTTCATAAGGTTATTTTTCATGAATTCTGTTGGCTACAGAAAGTCAAAAAGCTTGTACAGATTCAGAGAAAGAGATACTATCTCTTGAGAAAAGAGGAAGAACCCATGCACGCTTCCACGACCTACCACCAAGGTTAGACTCCAGTTTCAAAATGATAGTTATGAAATCAGTGCCTTCTGTGTGCCATGGTCCCTTCTTACAGAAGGGTGAAATTCAGTGGTTTGGGAAGGTGACCTGAACCAGGCCGTGTAGTGTGAGAGATGGGGAGTGATTCTGGGACCGGCTTTCTGTTCCAGGAAAGGAGGCCCACAAGGCCTTCAGATGGGCTCAGGAGCTGGGCTTAATGAGGCAGAGCTCTGTGCTTCCCCCTGGAAGCTCCTCTTGGTTAGAAGTTTCCTGCAACAGAAATGAGAGCCCTGAGCTGGGGACCAAGATGCCAAAGCCGCTCTGCTCCTGCCTCTGTGTGGTTCGTGGGTACGTCCCTCTGCTCCTCATGTTCCACATTTAGGAGGGAAGGAAGGAAGCAGCTTTGATGATGTTGTGTGTCATCCTGGTGTTTGACACTTTTCTATTCACTATCTCCTGGCTCTTTGTGACCAACTACAGAAGGAAGACATATGATATTCAATTTTGATGGGCAATTTGGAGTCGAGGAGAAGAGCAGCCCAGGCCTTCACATAGCCAGGTGGGGAGAGGCTGCGGCTAAGTCTCTCTCACTCAAAATCTTGGGCTCTTTTCTATTATTTAAGGCTAACCTCCAAAGTGGGCGGTATTCTCTCCAGGGTACACAGAACAGCCATCAGGAAATGGAAAGGAAATATTAGAACTTCTGCTTGCAATTGTGTAAGCCCACAAGAAGAAAGAATGAAGCTTCACTGATAAATAGAATCCAGTCTGGTCCTTGAAACCTTACTTGTTCTTAGGTCAGACAGTTGGTGAGTCCCTTCCTGTGACTCAGAGACCAAGAACAAAGAGTGCAGCCAGAGCACAGCCCGGCTGAGGCCACCCTCACGTTGTATGAATCTGTAAATTGTTTTCTGCCTCCAACTACAAAAAGCCCCTTAGAACTCTGAGGGGATCGTGAGCTAAGGGGATATTAACAAGGAAGAATGCAATCACCAGGAAACCACAGAATGATGCTGATCCAACTCCTTGCAAAAATCTCTTGATACACACACTAAGATTAAAAATGACAAGCTAACCAGCTCCAACAGTAAGTGGGCCGAGAGGTCTGGAGTTCTTCATTCTTATATATTCGTGCTCCTGAGCATCATTCCCTGCAAACCTCAGCCTACCTGGGTGTTGGGCCTTGAGGTCTTGGCAGGCCTGTGTGAAAAAATCTCCATTAGAAAACATTTCAAGTGACACATCCAAGACACCAGTGAACCCCTGTGGATTTGCCAAGGAGGAGAAAAACTGAGTACGGGCATCATGACTCTTCACCAGGCCTTGATAGTCTCTTTCTAGAGCTGCATGTTTGTGGGGGGCAGCTTGTTTAGCTGAGCTCACTGATAAAAGGTAATATTAAATTATGCTAAACTAGAGCCAGGGCTTGCAATCACTGTAATATGTATATATTTTTTAATAAGAAAAGGTGAGGTCTTCTCATATAAAAACTCTATTTTTATTTATTTATTTATTTATTCTAATTTGTTTATATGACAGCAGAATGCATGGTACACATATAGAGCACAATTTTTAGTACACATATAGAGCACAATTCATAGTACACATATAGAGCATAATTTTTCATATCTCTGGTTGTATTCAAAGTATGTTCACACCATTTGTGTCTTCATACATGTACTTAGGGTATTGATGTCCATCTCATTCCACTGTCTTTCCTATCCCCCTTTCCCCTCCCTTTCCCTCCTTCCCCTTTGCCCTATCTAGAGTTTATCTAATCTTCCCTTGCCCCCACCCTCCACCCCTTTATGAATCATCATCCTTAAATCAGAGAAAACATTCAGCATTTGTTTTTTTGGGGGATTGGATAACTTGCTTAGCATTATAGTCTCCAACTCCATCCATTTACCTGCAAATGCCATGATTTTATTCTCTTTTAATGCTGAGTAATATTCCATTGTGTATATATACCACATTTTCTTTATCTATTCATCTACTGAAGGCCATCTAGGTTGCTTCCACAGTTTAGCTATTGTGAGTTGTGCTGCTATACACATTGATGTGGCTGCATCACTGTAATGTTCTGCTTTTAAGTCCTTTGTATGTAGACCAAAGAGTGGGATAGCAGGGTCAAATGGTTTTCCAAGGACTCTCCATACTGCTTTCCATATTGGCTGCACCAATTTGCAGTCCCACCAGCAATGTAGGAGTGTGCCTTTTCCCCCACATCCTCACCAACACTTGTTGTTTGTATACTTAATAGCTGCCATTCTGACTGGAGTGAGGTGAAATCTTGGAGGAGTTTTGATTTGCATTTCTCTAATTGCTAGAGATGTTGAACATTTGTTCATATATTTGTTGACTGATTGTATATCATCTTCTGAGAAGTGTCTGTTCATAATAGGTTACTGTATTCTTTCTTCTAAAAGACGTTTTCTATAT